ACCAAAACAATTGAAAATAAATTGTGATTTATATTGTAAAAATAAATTAGTATTTTAATATATTTATTTAATATTTCAATTGGAAAAAATACATAATATGTATAACTAAAGTTTTAATAGTAAAAAACAATTAATCGAACCAAATTTAAAAGCTAGACCATAAAACTTAATTCATTTGGTTTCTGTCGCTACGGTGCAATATGGTAGTCATTAATGTGCATTTCGTATAACACACTTGTGCAATTGCACTGCATGCACTTTTTATGATCTGTCCCAAACTCAAAATAACGTTGAACAAAATTGTTAGTTTATTTGATTGGTTAACCTAATTAACATAAGTAGTCGAAATAATTTATAAATTATATTACAAAAAAATATATTTAGTAGTTTAATGTTTTAGTTAATATTGTTATATAAAACACGAACCCAAAAACTATGTTCGGCTGGCTTCGGTCACTATGGTGCAATATGATAGTCATTAATGTGCATATCGACTAACACAATTGAGCAATCGCAGTGCATACACTTTTTATGATCTTGTCCCAAACCAAAATAAAGTCGAACAATACTGTTAGTTTATTTTGATCGGATAACTGAATTAACATAAATAATCGAAATAATTTAAAAATTACATTTTAAAAAATATATTTAGTAGTTTAACGTTTTAGTTAATACTTTTGTATTATTTATTGTTGTAAAGACCTAAAATACAGTGACCTAATTGCAATTTTATAAACTTTGATTTCACGTGCCAAATGTGAAATTAACCAAATTATATTGAGTATTTTTTTTGTTAATAACTAATACTTTATATTATTTGGTTAACAACAACAACAACAACAACAATAATAATAATAATAATAATAATAATAATAATAATAATAATAATAATAATAATAATAATAATAATAATAATAAGTATTATTATTATGTAATTCGATCGGTTCGGTTGTTTTTGTTAGTTTAAAAAAAATAGTCAAAATATAACTGAAATATTTGAGATTTTAAAAGTACAAAACATAAAGTAAACAAAAATGTAAAATTTCGAACCGAAAATTTTAGTTCGGCCAGTGTCGATTAATATAGTGCAATTTGATAGCCATTAATGTGCAATTTTTCTAACACTACAGTGCAACCTGACTTATTCGACTCGGTTAACCAAATTATTCTAAA